CATACGATTATTACCAATCAAACAATTTTCGTGCACCATAGAATCAAGAATAAATTACAAAGCGCAGCGACGTACCAATGCACCGGCACGGCGGCACTCAATCACAACGCGACAACGTTGGAACCCGTGAGGATCAATCACATGCAGCACTAAACATTACTTCCGTTGCGTTATTGACGCAATATGCGTGAGAGTATCTAAATAGATAGATGCGGATCACTGAATCAGACAGTACGATTACGGTTCTACATTAATATATAAAAACAACACCTAGGTCCAATTGAAAACGTATGTACATAACCCAACAATCAAAACTCTAGAGCTCTATTAAGAAATAGTATTTTAGAAAGTCGAATCTAGGTAAATATATCCAGGAATGAAAAAAAAAAAAGAAAAAACATAAAGTATATTCCAGTAATAACGAAGTCGGTCGATAAAGGGATATAATATGAATAATAAAATTAGATTAGTGTGGGTATGAGATTGCATGTATGTTCACGGTCTCAACGAGAAATACCGGGAAAATTAAATCAACATTAATTGTAAATTAATGTTATTTGTGTCCGTGACTATAACGCAAATATATTATATATAATGATAAATAAAATATTAAATTATGTATTAAGCAAACATTTTTTTCATGGTTACTTAATTTGATAAGTAATCATGATTATTTAATTGTATCGACTCATAATGTCTTACATTTATTTTAGTGTCTGTAAACTTATTAAACACACAATTTTATGGATGTTATAAACTAATACTATACAAAAAGTAATATAATATATATTATACTATAACTGATGGTTATAATTTTAAATTTTTTTGTGTTAATTTAATTATTTTTTAGATATTTATTTTTATTTGTTTTTCTCAAAGTGAAAATTGATTCAATGTATGCTATTCCCATTTTGAATAATAAAATGTATATAAGTTTAAGACTCGAAAAATTTCATAAAAGAACATTAGTATGTTTTTAAAATATTTAATCCATTATTTAACGATGTAGTATATTAATACTCAATAACACTTTATTAGGTCTTTAAATGATTAAACTCTTGATTAAAAAAAATCATGAAATATTTTTTTTGTAGAGTAAATTTGAATAAAATTTCAATTTTAGTTATTTTAATCTGCAGAAAGTATCGATTAAATATTAAAGTTCATCAGTGTAACTTATTTTATTTTTACACAATTCAATATTATATTTGATATCAAATAAAAATAGAACTGTCTAGGTTCTTGAAAGTTGTAAATTTACTATTATATTGGATTTTATAAGATAATAGTCTTATAATAACTAACAGTAATTTACTTTGTAATTTTAATCCATTTTTAATAATGTACTTGACCTCGATTTCTTAAAGATTAATGACCAAAACTTATTAAATTATTTAGTTATTTTATATAAATTATACAATACTATAACATATTTTCATTTAACAATAAAACAAAACACTTGCCTATATTTTTGGTCACCATTTTCAGCAATTGACAATAATGTACAAAAAAAACATATTTCATTCTTTTACATATCAAATGTAGGTGCCTATTCAATTTTATTTGTTTAAGAAAATAATATTCGATGATATGCTATTGTTGGTATAATACAAATAAAAATATATGCAAATAAATTAAAAATATATATGTTTTTTTTTTTTTATTTAATTTAACTGTTCGGTTGATAATCCCAAAATACTATTTTTTAAATAAAATATTATAATAATTAATATTATATTATTAATAAATATTTGATTATTATATTTTTATCTTTGTCACGTGTCTTTGCACAGTTAATTAATATTATAATGTTTTATTTATATGTACTTATTATTTTTAAAATCACCAATATCGTTTATATCTTAATAACTATTATTAAATTAAATATTTTTAAATTTCGACTGTATCCGCTTACATTAATAATAAAATAGTAGTAATTTATAGAGCTATATTAGAGTTAATAATAAAATAATTCATAGTTTAAATTGATGGTATACAATGATACATCATTGAAAAATTATTTATTTTGATGATTATAACTAAAAGATAAATTTATAACTATGTTAGGTTTTTAAAATGCAACCATTCAATCGTTAAAATTAGGTTAACGTTATTATGAATTATGTCATAATCTAACAGATTAATTCTTAATTCGGATAATTTTTAAATCATATTCTTATTAGTGTTAAATTAACCGTTGCTTGTAACGTTAATATTACATCGTCTGTAATATTTTTTGTTATATTTTAAAATTTCTTTTTTTTTTTTTAACTTGTGTCCAATATAAGATGTATAGTAGATGATATTCAAACACAATACTCGATCGAACACAATATATCACATGAAATATAGATTTTGGCCATTAAATCGGTATACTCAGCACTTTGGGTGTTATTGTTAAAAAAGAAAAAGATGTTTATCACTTCTTTGTTTGTTGTAAAATTCTTTTCTTGACACTGCTGCGATTTTGACTTCACAAGTATCTTGCACCTTAAATCGTAAAATATATGATACACGATATTTCATCTTTAAACCATAAGAACATTTGGCTATCACTTCGGCCAAACGTGTTTTACTGTTGTTGGTTAATGCGCAACAAACTTTTACAGAATGGCCATTTTAAAATTTTTCAATCGATACCATCTGACACTAGAATTGAATGTGTTAATATTTCGTTGACAGCAGATTTAATGTAAAATGACATTACTAGTAGTTAAGCGGCAAATTTTAGATGGCAAGTCCATTGTAGTACTAAGTATTAAAAATGTGCTGTATCAGCATTATTGTCTCCCGCTGACCTGTGGAAGGCAAGTTTCACAATTTAATAATCGACCTATCCAAATTCCGAGCGGGCGTGTTCTACTCTCATTATTCAAACCTTCATATCCTGACACGGTGAGGCAATAGCCTACGGAGTATTCCCAGATTATGCCAACGCTATTATAGTAAGGAAAACTGTTAAGATAATAGTAAATATTTATTATTTTTTTTTTTTTATTATTCATTAAGGTACAATTATTTTACATAATACCTATGATACTATTATAAAATAGCTTAAACATTCGGTTTATCTCTGCTTTATATTCAAAAATCACGGATTAAACTAAAAACAAAAGGAGGAGTAAATGTTATTCTGTTAAATGAATACGAAAACTTTTGTCGATTATTTGTTAAACGTGAAGTACAAATTATTATTACCTACTTTGCAAACGACTATTATAAACGATATCAATTAATCCATGCGATTCTCAAACTTCCTAGACCGTTAAGTCCCATAATTTTACTGCTGAAATTTCGTTTATTTTGCAGTGGGCAGTTATTTTATTGCGGTTAAATGTTATAAATTAAATTATACAGTTTTATCACTAATTTGAATTGGGAAATTTTAATTATGTCATTAAAAATAAAACGATAAAATTAATTTCAAAGATATCAAAAATAACGATTGTTTTCATAGTCTTGTAATAGTATTAATAATTAATAGTTTCTTGTGCATTACGTCTTATATTATTGTTTATTGTATAACTTAAACATTTTAAAGTAACAATTTTAATGGTGCTAAAATATATTCACTTGGTACTTATAGTAGAAAAAATAATATTATTTACTATAAATAATAAGTTACTATAATAGAAACAAAATAATTTTGGTAAAACCATAAACATAAGTAAAACAACGAAATCAGTATTTTGTTTTTAACTTCATTTATTTTTATAATATTTATTTAACAATTAAACGGACATTCAATTAGTAATTGTATATTATTGTTAGAAAATGAATATTTACAATGGACTTATTATGTCTTAAGCATGTATAGATTGCACGCAACTGACTTATAAGTATAATATATATGACAATAATAGTATTATAATTTGATAATATAATTTACAAAAAAAAAAAAAATTAACAATAATGATAATATCAATTGGTTAACATTATTCACATAACATCAAGAACATTTGTGATGTGTCGATACTTTTATCGTAATGTTAGACGTAATAGTTATACAGATGAAAAATGTTATTAACATTTGCTCATTGAAAAAATAATACACAAAAACGTATGAATTTCTGTATATACAACGTTTCATTGAGCTCTTAATATTTTAAAGCATTTACAATTATTTCCAATCGCACTTTCGTAATATTATTAGTCCTTTATAACATAACAGTATTATGCATAGTAATCGTATTATTTTATTACAATGAATATCCGATTATGTTGTTTTCAAACAATATATGTATATGTATATGTATATGTATAATGTATGTATATATTATCATATCATTATGATGTTTTCAAAAAAACCATTACGTACAACCATCATCAAAATATAATATGTCACAATAATTTTAAAATCCTAATAATTATAATTATAGTTATTATAATAATTTTAAATAATTACAGTTTTACTTACGTCCAATAAATTAAATAAATAGGTACAGAAAATATAAAATGATATCAACTCATTAGCAATTATAAGTACACATTGAGATGTTTTAATATAGATATTTTTATTCATTTAAACTTTAACTTTTCACATAAATAGTATATAATAGAAGATATCTATAGTCACTAATAACAACTAGTAAAAGTAAAAAAAAAAAAAATTAAATAATTAGTAATAGGTAATAATTTTCCAAAAATATTAAATAATATAAACTTATAAATTAGTATAATAAAATGGGAAAAATGTATAATAAAATTATATTTACAATATTATGATAAATTTTTTTAATAAATTTTGAATAAAATAAAATTATGTATTTTGTTTTTTAAATAAATATGTGTAACCCTGTACAATGTAACTTAAGTGCAATAATTAAAACCAAATCAAAATTGTTTGTAACATAATAATTGTTAAATAATTTTAATTTTATAACACTTTTTAGATATAACATTATATCATTATAACATATCTGTAATAAAGTATAGATATAGACAAATATAATGGTAACCATACTAATAATATTAAGTGTAGGTTTATGAGATAAATTAGTTAATAATTGGCTAAATTCTAAATTTTATTCCAAAGTTATTATATTACTTAATTCTGGTAATTGAAATAAGACAGGAGTAAACAAAAACATCTTTATGCATATTTAACAATAATTATAGTTATAATAATTATACTTTTTACAAAGATAAAATACATACATATAGTTTTGATTACTTACACAGTAGAATCATTTTCCCTTATCTAACGGATATAACCATTAGTGGCAATGCAACAAACCATAGCATCACTTCGATTCCTGAAGCTGTGGACTTTCTGCGTGATATGGCAGCCATAGTGTCTCCTGAATAAATAAACAATTAATAGTATTTCTATTTTTTATCGATTTTATTTGTCTTGATATTATATGTAATGTTCATTTTTTGAATATAGCAATAAGATAATAGTTTTAAAATTTAAAAAAATTTATATCGATGGAAATATTTCAATATTTAGTACAATATCAAATATTTTTCTACGACACATAAAGATTAATAAATAAATAAATAGATTAATAAATGATCAAATTGTATGCAACAAAACTTATTATTGATTATTTTTAGCAAGCAAAGTTCAATCATAAATTTTTATTTTTATTATAATTTTACACTTTGTTTTGTTATCTATGATTATGTTTTTATATATTTGAAAATCATTAGTTTTGAATAAATTTCAAAAAAATTGATGTTAAAAAATAAATTGGATCACCAATATTTTACTTAACCTGTTTTTTTTTCATACAGTTGTTTTTTTAATAATACATATTTATAAACAATTATAACTAATTGATGAATAGTTTTTGTTTAAGAAATTGTTTAATATTTAGAATTACTTTAGCAATCAGAATATTAAACATCACTAACATTTGCAATATAATAACATTACCACAAATTGAGAACATTTTAAATTTAATCTATGATTTTATTTTGTTCCCTAGAATTTAATTTAATTCAAAATGGTATTGTTTCTAAATTTTAATAAAATGTAAGCAATACATAAAAGAAAATAATGATAACTATTAATAATTTAGTAACAATATTATCTATAATATGTGTGTAATTTAATACTGTTAACATTACAAATGCCCGCTGCTACCGAGAAATTATTTAAAAATAATAATAATATGCTCACAATTTTTTTTATAAATCCTGCATTAGAAATACGATAATATATTTCGTATTTAAATTGTGTAATATATTTTATTAGTATTAAAAAATCTATTTACTAACCCCAATTGCAATGATGTGATAAAAATAATGAATATTAACTTTTAAGACATAGACAATAAAATATATATTAGGTAAACTACTGAACTATAAACTTTTATGATGATTTTGAATAAGTAAACTAGATAAAATATTATATTAAAGTTAATCATTCTTAAAAATCCGTAATGAAATTTAAACGTCTAAAAAAAATCTGTTAATTATTTAATACGTTTTGATCAATGGGAATTTCCTAGTGAATATTGACATAAAATATATATTCGTACAATTTATTTGACCTATCATAAGACTTTAAGAACCATTATATATGTATATATGTTTTCACGAGCTTTTTATGTTCAAGCGAAGTATGAGAATTATTTAAACTATTAAATAATTTTACTACTAATAACTTATTTAAAAATTAAAATACCATTATAACGCGATGGGAAAATAAACATTATATTATTATCATTAAATTTATTGATGAGGCTATTATTAAAGCTTACTATACAAAATTGAAATTAATGTATAAAAAAAAGTGTAATATTATTCGTTTATCATCGATAAGTATAGGGGAAGTATGAAATTGATTGACCATCTTTTTACAATATGTAGTCGTTATCATCGTGTATATAAAAAAATAACTTTATTATTATCAAGGTCACGTCTTTTTCTCAATACACACAAATATTTAATGTCATGCTTTCTTCATATACACTCACCTCTTGTCTACCAATTTGTGTTTTTTTTTTTGTTTTAAAGATTAATATTTTGTATCGTGAGTTGATTAGATAATAAATTATGTTAATAATCTGAAATACTGTTTATTTTTTATGTTTGCGTTGTAATAAGTAATCAATTTATTGTTACATGCATTTTGTCTAAAGAAAACAAGCATTTTAGGGCCATACATATTTTGAAGGTTTTTTTTTTATTTTTTTTTGTTTTGTTAAATGGATTTATTACATAAATTTAATATTATAACATTAAAGAATTAACTGTAAGTATTTGTATAACAAGCGCGTGGAACTTTTTGTAATTTAAATCAGTATGTTAGGTTATTAATTATAATATTTTTATTTTACGTATTGGGTGAATTTATATTATCTATTATAAAGACTGTGTGGAAACGATTTTTTCATGATATTACCGTTTGCGTCGTGCGATATGCAAATAAGATGTGAAAATTCTGAGCAAACCATCTGATATCGGTAATAATATTTTACTGTTTGTATAAAACGATTTGACCACCGTTGTGGAATATACAATTCACGTTTCATTTAAGCACCTTTAGCAAAAGTAATTCTATAGATTACTCAGTTATAACGTATAAGATACACTGAAATAAAACGACTGTATACACAAATGGTTTACAAAATGTCCTATTCTCCTGCAGAGTCCTGTCAGGTATTCTGTGGACGCCTAATAAAATTGTATCTTAAAGACAAACGTCAAATTCTATACCACTCCAGTAAATACTGACCTTGTATGAGATCCTACTATTGATTAAAATCGTAGCGTTTATAAACTTTGTGTGGCAATTTTAGTATTATTTCGTCAATTTGCCTTCACCTATCGTGTATTATTATGAACATAATGGGTCAGTTATATTTGTAACTTAAGGTCGATTTATTTTTACTGCTATTAATATTAATTTCACGAAGAGCTAGAGTTATTTTTATACCTACAGTTCCACACGTATCAGATACAAAACTACATAAATGTATTACTATTTGACGAATTTAGCACATTTTATTTTTCACCTCATTAGCAACTTTCATAAAATAAGAATAATACGAAAATTAAATTTACATTACAGTTAAGTTTTTTTTTCTTATATTTTATAATTAAGTCAAATGCAATTGAATTTTAACAGATGGTTTTAAAATTACGTAAGTATATAATACTATATATCCTTGCATGATTATTTTATTCAATTATCTGTGGAATTTTTATTTTTGTGAACAATAATTTACCTTGACTTAAAAAAAAAAAAAAAATTATAATAATATATATGTGTAGGTGAGTTTTTTGGGGAAAAACAACAACTTAATATCTAAGTTTAGAGTAAATTTATAAAAATTATACCTGTAATAGTATTAAACTATTAAGTCATCATAATTTTAAATTGATAAGATTATATTATCTTCTTATAATTTTAATGATAATAAAATCATACATTTTCAGAATTCGTAATTAATAAAATACATTATATGACAATGTATTATGCTTTAGTATTTAAATAAAAAAAGAAATACATTGTAAAAAAAAAGTAAATAATTTGACCAAAACCGTTTTGATAATCACTAAATAAACAATGAAGATAACATAAATACTTTAAGTTGTCAATACAAATTGCAATAACAACAAAGATATTAATTTTTCGGTGACTTGCTGTTCTTTTAATTTAATGGAATAAATATTATATTTAGTGAATGGTATAACTAAATACAAAACTTTGTTATTTATTCTATTAGAAAAATACTCCAACCACTATGTTGATAATTAGTAGTTAACTTTTATTATCAATACATTAAAATCCTATCACAATTTATATAAGTGAATACCGTTCTTTCCATTTTTTTATAAAATCAAAAGTATTTTTTTTTTTTTTTTAACTTAAAAACTTTAAAAATCAAGAAAGTATAAAAATATTTTAAAATTTACATATTTTTAGAATGATGTTAGAACTAGGAATGATATAACACTATTATAATACATTATATTAATTTAGTCAAATTTTTTATGCATAAGTTTTATATTTCTTTTAAATTACCTTCAGATACAAAAACATAAACATAAGCTTGTTCGGCATTTGCAGTTTCACATGTGTAATTACCACTGTCCGTGTCAATTACGTCATGGATGGTCAACCTGCTGGTACTACGACCACCATTTTCTGTATTGACTACAATACCACCTCTGATATTGTCGTAGTTGATCATTTTTTCATTATGATACCAAAACACGTATTGCGGAGGCTGAGGACTCTAAAAAATGATTCACAAAATAAAATTTAAAAATATTGATTATAAAACTAAATGTAATCAATTGTAAACTATTAGAATGATTATTAAATGTAACTAATAAAATTAGAATTATTGAAAATAAAATCATAAAAAACATTATTACATTCCTTTTTTAATTAAAAACAAACACATTATTCAAATTTGGAATACAAAATAAAAGTCTATAACATGTATCATAAATAAAAATCATGAAATATCAATAGCAATACCTATATGACTATGGATTTATTTAAAAATATTTCAAGTTTTGTTACACGGCAAAATGAGTAAGAAAAATAATATATTTATAATTTATTTTAATAACTGATTATCTTCCATTAATATTATCACGATTTAAAACCATAAACACTGTTTTGCAATTAATAGCACTTAATATATTTATTTTATTAAAATAATAATCAACTGTTATAAATATAGTTATGAGTAAGGTTAACTTCTTTATAAAAACTCAATGTTAATTATGTTAGAAACAAAATAAAGATATATATAAAGTAGTCGTTAATCAAGTATTACTACATTTTATATTCATTTTATTTTCATGAAACTATTATGGTACTTATTATGATAAAAATAACGGTCACTTACTTTTTCGATGATACAAAGAAGATTGATTATGCTACCCATATCTACGTGAAGTTCTCTTGGTCCATCGATGTGCACTTCAGGAACAACGATGTGGACGTTGATGAACGAGGACATTATGCCTGTTCCAGTAGATATCTGTCAAATAGAATCGAAAGCATAAACGTTATTATAACTAATTAGTTAATATTAATGTCAATAATATGAAAGCAATTTTTAACTATAAATATTGAATGAGTAATTTTAAATTCAATACAAATGTGAAGTGATACGCTTTGAATGAAAATAATTATTTATATTTTAATTGTTAATTTTATAGACTTTGACTTGATTTCAAAATATTAAAGTTTTTACACATTTATATAATAATATTTATATAACATTTGAAGAAATGGAACTATAAAGAAAATTAAAATATACTGTATGATCACAAAACATTGTATAGCTATTTTTGTCTCATTTTCAAACACATGTTTAATGAAATTATAATAGCTTTTTTCATCAACCTCCATAAAATTATAAATTAATTAGTTTTATTTTATGAATAAAATATTGTCTTACTTGTAATACAATATTATTTACTTTATAATAGTATCAAAAAAATAAATATATTTTTAGTTATATTATTCAAATAAATAATTTATATACACAATTAGATTTTTAAATAAATACTTTATAATACTATAATTAAAAAAATAAATTGTTTATCCTGTATTTTTTAAGAAAAATTCCTGATGCAAAGTTTTAATTTTAGATAAATTTGTATATATAATATATATTTAATTTAAATGTTTTTATAACATTAATTAGTAAAAATAATAAAAATAGTGTAAAATACTAGTAATAAACAATGTTATCTATAAAATATAATATGTTGTTTAAAATACATATATAAATAATTGTAAAACTACTATGGACATTTTTGTTTTTTTTTAACTTAAAATATAACCTGTATTTCGCATCTATCCGTTATATATATATATTTTTGTTTGAAACAAGTAAATGTGATTTATAGTACAATATACTGCTTGATATTTAATTCTACAGCACGCGATAATTTGTAACAAAAATTAATAGGGTTATGTATCAAAATAAACCATTCACCGGAAAATTTGAAAAAATTAAATTTATGACTTTAATGTTTTATAAAAAAACATTCAAATACCTATAACTAAAATAGCTAAAAAAAAGTGTTAATAGAATGTTTTTTTTTTTTTTTTTTTTTTTTTTTAACGAGTAAATATTGTTCATTTGATCGAAACCATTTGATTGATATAGTATATAAGAATAAGACAAGATGTGCGTGTAGATAAATTTAACAATAATTATGCTTGCAATAATGTACGATTGAACGATATGATTAATGGCGTAGTAATAATATGTATATATATATTAAAGTTTGAAAAGTACGTTTTTTTTTTAATCATTACGAGAAAAGAAAATGGAATTGTAATTAAAATTAATTGTTAAATAAAAATGCGTACTTAATGCATTAAGTATTTAATAATTCATATCCTTTTATACTTCCTAGAATTGAAAGTTCATAGATTATCTAAAATATTTATTATATCTTATTCGCTATAGATCCATTTCTTATACCATTGTTTACTAAAAATTTACATTCTACACAAGAGTCATAATAACGTACGTTTTTAACAGATGTTGTATATTTTATGTAAACATATAAACATATTATCAAACATCCTGGTAGAAAATTGATATTACAAAAAAAAAATAATTTTTTTAAATTTACTCAACTTTTTTTGAATATTTACAGAAAAGAAATATGAATATATTTTTTTTTTTTTATACATATATACATATTTACATTTAATATTTTGAAAGTTGTACGCATAACTTTACAAAAACTCCTGTAATGGTTATAATTTTTGAGGAAAAACTTTTAAGTTTGAAATATTATTTATCGTTAACCATTGATACTTGCATTATCAATGCATATTATGCTATACATACATTTATTGACCTATCGTCTTGCATTTTATACCTCAGACCTATTAAATAAAATATTTCTTTTTATAATGAAATAAATATTTACTCTGTGAAGTTTTATCAAAAAATATATTAGTATTAATATATTTATTACATAGTATAATTTTTATAATCAGCTATTATGACTCAAAAAACTAATGCCGTTTAAAGTCGAGTTTGGTAATATTATACGCCAAGTGAGACTATTCAACTAAAAAATTGTATGCAATTTTAGTATTGAAGTATTATGTTTTTTGAACAAGTATTTGTTCAATTTATATTCTATTAATTAATTCGAGTAAAATATGTTATAATTATGTATCTAATTAATTTATTGTTACAATAATAAAACCATATATATTTTCGTATATTATAATTTATAAATAAAACAATATTTTCTAAAAATACATATTTATTTAACAGAAAAAAACAGATAAAAATAAAAATAATAATAAGACAATTAGATTGTGTAATTGTGTAAATAAATACTCGTAAATTACATTTTAATCTATTTTGAACCATATTTTTATGGTTTTTAGACAACATAAGTTTTAAGTTATTAATTGATAAACATAACCACTTATTTAAGTTTTGTAATATTATAGAACTTTAAAGACTAGATATTAATAATGATTTATTTTCAGATATGTGGATTATATTTGAGACTCAATATAATAGTCAATAGTTTATAATAATAATAATATTAATAACTTATAACGAATTGCACAGTTAAAATATAAAAACGACTTGAGTTTATTGTTTATATTGAATCACTCACGTTGTATTTTATTTACTTTAAGATGATTCGAATTTTCAATGCAATCTCATAAATGGGTTTGGTTCAAAAATATGTTTACATAATGCTTAAACTTTATAGTTTTCAGTTGCTAATATACTCATTATAATATATCTAATATCAATGAATTAAGAAACACAACATTTTGCAAGAATATTAATATAACTTCCTCCATCTATGTATTTATCTATATGTGATTCATTGGAAAACGTCAAACATTGTTTTTAAATTTTAGCGATAAACAAATTGTTATACGTTTAATTATAGATTAAAATAAACAAAATATAGATAAGAAAACACAACACAAACACCTAGTATTAATTTTTCTATTATAATATATAACGTTTTTTTCTTTCTAAATAACAGTTATTGGTTAAAATTAACCAGTAATAATCATCAATAGTTATAATAGATCGAATATACAATGTTTAATTTATAAAATAACATAAATAATAAATAATTACCTAGATTTTTATATCGAATTCTAAGACCATAATTTTTGTAATTAATAATATAACCAAAATCAGTTTTTTTTTTACATATTTTCATAATGACATTGTTATGAATTTAGTTCAAAAACATAACATATTCCGCGAATTTGATACTAGAGATGTAGGTTTTATTGAAGAAATGTTAAAGAGATGTTGTATTTTAACCGGAATTGTCAATAGTTTATATCCGGCAGGTAGAATAACTTGAACTAGTAGATTTAGTGACTTATGGACAACAATAGCTAATATGCTCCTTTGGGATTACAGAAGCTGAGCCAAATTCATCCATAGATTCTTAGATTTTGGATTTTATTTTTCATTTCCACAAACTATTTTCTCGGCTCTAACAATATTGACACAAATGATGGGACTTGTAGGAAATTGGTAAACAATTTTCACATTTTAGACTTCAATAAGTGTTCATTGACTATGTTTATGATTGAACTATTTTCAAACAAATAACTCAATGTCGAAATTATAACGTAAAAACATTTATTATTAAATTTTTACGGTCGGCAAACAATAACATATTGTTTCTTACATTGATATAATACTTTCAACTAGATATTAATATAGTTATACATATATATTTATATATTACATATAAAATATTGTTTTAATTAAATGTTATGTTCTATTGAGTATTAAATTAAAAAAAAAAAAAAACTAACTTATTTTATTATGTGAAAAATTGTGTAACAGTTTAATCTTAATAAAATAATACCTAATATATATATATATATATATTTTAAATAACAATAATCTATTATTACCTTTAATTTACCTAAAAATTGTGTAATAGTGTAATGTTGTTTCAGATTTAGAGTAGTAAAATAATTATAGTACTCAATAATTTTTTAGCTGGAACTGCGAATGAATTACTGATGCAATGGATCATAATTGATTTAAATTCTTTAAACTTATAGTTAATATATTTTTTTTTATTTATCTATCTTTACTTATATAAAAGAACAGCCCATTTTGTGAACGACAATGTTTAACAATTTTTCAATATTTTTTCACTGAGTTGTTCAAAATACCTTCCTGAGTATCACGTATCACCACGCCGCCTGATTTTTCATTTTTTTTGCCCTAAAAGGAGAGGAAGGTGGGGATTGTATTTCATTAATGCAGTATTTATTCATCAGTGCGCGTTTGTTTACTATTATTAAAGAGTATTTTCAATAACTATTCAATATGATTTCCATAGCAATAGATCATTTTAAAAAAGTAAAAAAAAAACTAAGTTTTGCAAAAATTTTATTATACCACGAGGTGCCAAAATATTACATTTACAATGCTTCAAAATTCAACAGAAGAAAACGTGGTACACCTGTTGATGGTTATAAAGGTATAATGAGATACACGACAATAATAAGAGTATACACAGTGCATCCAAGTAACATGGAATGTTTTCATTTACGACTAGTAATATACATCACGGTACCTGGCCCAACTTCATTTTCTTACTATAAATATGCGAACCAAATTAACAGGATAAATAAACACGCTGGATAATTTTCTACCTTACTCTTAAAGATTGGTAGTGGAACCTTAAATGATAATAATGGTTGCATTACAATATTGTTACTGTTTAATGTTTATAGATAAATATAAGACATTTTTATACAGTAGAATTGCAAATAAACAAATGAAAAATTTAAAAACATTTTTATATTACTATTATAGGTATTTATTATAAACTATATTGATTGTAATTTTCGTTGATTGGTATTATGTTGTGATTTTAAATTTTTAAAAATATAATTCTATACATGGCTATTTTAAGTTAACCATGAATAATTATTACAAGTTGGAATAAACACAACACTAATTTATCCAATGTTTAACATTGTACTTTA